TATTTTCCTTAACTTGTGATGAATCATGTGATGTTAAAAACATCTCTCAACTCACTTTAATGGGACAGTATGTTTCGTCTACGGGTGTTCATGAAGAATTACTGGGTTTACTACCGCTCAAAGGACAAACTCAAGGAGAGGATATTTGCGCTGCAATTACAGAATTTTGTAAATATCACTTATAATCACTTAAATAAAAAGCTGCAAGGTAAGGGAAATACAGCACATACACTACTGGAAACTGTTCTATCTTTCGAACAACAACTTCAGCTTTTTTCAGAAGATATTGACAGCGGAAATCTTGATCATTTTGAATCTTTGAAAGAGTACACAGAAAGCTCAGGTTGTATTATTGATTTTGAGTATTTTAAATCGGCCATTCAATCCATGAAAAATTCGTTTAGTAGACGTTCTGAATATTTTCGAAAATATAAATCTACGTTGAAGTTCTTGACATCACCACTCATAGCGGAGACTGGATAAATTAATTTTCCATCGTTTCCATCTGTCGACAAAAGACTATTTTCATTGCAATTAATAGAACTAAAAACCAAAGATCTTTGGTCTACAAAATTTGAGAATTTGAAAACGGATATTGAAAATTTGGAAAGGGAAAAATGATTTTTAGCTGCGAACCATAAATGGACGGAACTCGCTAAATGTCAAAAAGAAGAGCAAGTTATATTTGACGTATGGAACAGTCTTCCCGAAAGTTTCAGCCAATTAAAATTGGTCGCTTACGGAATTTTGACCATTTTTGGATCTACTTACATTTGTAAGCAAACATTTTCAAATATGAACTTTATTAAGAATAAATTAAGAAATCAACTGAATGATATCAGCCTTGATGCTTGTTTGAAGTTGAAAACTACAGATTACTCACCAGAATTGAATAAGCTGTCTGGAGAAATTCAGTGTCAAAAATCCCACTAATATTAAATAGATACGTTATTATGTGTTTTATTGTGTTTAATTAAACAATATTATATTTGTATAAACAATAATAATAATAATAATGAAATGAAATAAAGTTTTTCTATAATTTCTAAATTTAAGACGTATTATTATGTTTTTATTGCCTACTAAAAAAAGGTTGTTCACACCTGTGCGTCTCCCTGGATATCATAGTTTTGTATTTTTTTGAAAGAATGGCTCTTTCCTACGAAAAGGTTCCCGACCCCTGCAATATAGAAATTATTTCCAGTGCAACTCCAGTGTTACTAGCTGATCGGACCGATATCAATAAACGTAAACGATCTTCGAGCTCGTTGGGTTCGTCCCAGTACACATAGTCTTTTTTTCTTATTGTTCAACCTCAACTGTAGCCCCGCACCGATAATGGATGCTTCACTGATGCTGCTGTTTTCAAATAACGGTAAGGAGTTTTTTGCGCTACAACCATCATCGTTTTCAAACAATAGCTTAATAGTGTTAACGTATTTTTGACCTCCATTTTTCAATGTTCATTCTTTATTGAAATGTACACCGGTTTCGAGTAAAATTGTTTTGTATGCCTGCAAATCTGATTCGGAGTAAAAACCGGGATTTTTCAAAAGAAGTAAATCCACAAGATCTAAGATCAGCAGAAATTTTTTCTCCAATACGTTGATTATTCCTCCATCGATAAAGATATCGTCGTCTCCACCTATTGTCAATGTTCCTTCCGGTGTCATTTTTGGTCCATACATTTTGTCTCTGTTCGGATTCATTGAACATTGGTGCATATACCGATGAAAAAAGCCCTTAAATCAATTTCACAGTAAATAACTAAAACAGGATATCGAGATTAGTTTTCAAAAAAAAGTTCAATACTAGGTTCTGCTAGAAAATCGAATGGTACGTACAAAAGGATTTCGCGGCATGATTACTAAAATAAAAATAATAACTTTATATGGAAAAAAATATCTAGATTTATTTACCATTATTCCATAATTATGATAAAACAAAAAAATTATTTATAGAAAAATAACTTTTTATGCTAAATAAATTATTAGTAAAAAAATTAAATTTTACTCTTGGTTAATAATCAACTTATAATACTAAAATAACAATTTAAAGAACTTACTTTATTTTTTTATTCCTCGAAATGCAGTTGATGCAACAAGTATTCGTTACAATATAATTTTTTTGTTCGTTGAAATGCAATTGAAACAGCCAGTAATCGTTAGCAGATATAAAAGATGAAATAATTTGCTTTTTATTATAATATTCTTTGTAAATTAAGACTATAAAATGTTATAATGCAAATTTATATATAATATTTTTCCAATAATTNAAATTTATATAATATGAATTCCAATAATATTGTAAAGATAAAAACATTTGTGTTCAGTTAAATTGATAATATGAAACTTATTATTTTTTTAAATTCAATTATAACATTAAAAATAGTAAATCTAATTACAAGAATTAGTTTTATACTTTCAATTTAATTTTTATTAAACGAAAAATGTAACTACAACAAATTTCTTTGCACAAAATCTGTGTAAATAGTACTTGAAACCTGCTGGACACCTAGAGATGTTATAATCCAACAGGGAGCTGACGGCGACACACACACTCACTATAATATACGGGGTAGCAAAGTTAAGTTAATTATCAGGCAAAAGTAGTGATCGCGAAGATGGTAAAATGTCAACTGTCGATAGAGATATCTTATTATGGCACATTGGCCGTGAATTGCAAAAAGTGTTTATGTTTGCAGTCCGCCCTCCTGTTAGTATTGTTGTATGTCACTGTGTTAATTATGTATATATATATATATGTCTATTAAACGGTACAACGATGTTATGGGAGACAGAGATATGGGCACATGCAAATGTGATCGTATCAACTTGAAAAATTTAACATTTTACACCAAGTGTAAAATGTAAAATCGGATCAATATCGATCTTGATCGTATAGTTTTAGATCGTGTTAAACGATGATAAATGACGATATCTATTGGAGCTTAGACAGCGACTCCGAAATTGGTAAGTAAAAAAATGTTAAATAATTATATCATAAATAGTGATTTAAAATATAAAAAAACAAATATACTTTTACAGAAAGATATGTTAGACTATATAATAACCCAACCCAAGAGTATCACACAAAAATTTCAACAAAAGTTGAAATTGATAGTATAAATAGTAAGTATAAATATTAAATAATTGTTACAAACATAATATATTTATTCTTTTTTTAATTTTATATCCAAACTACAGTAATGCTGAATACCGAGAGATTCGTTTTTCGGTGAATGGAGTATGGTGTAGTTAACTAATAAGTGATAACTTAAAAGTTATATCTAAATAAGTAAAATGTATTTATGTTATTGAAATACATAATCAGTATAAGATTTCCTGCATTTATTTGTTAAGTAAAAATAATTTTAAATCGTTATTAATACTAAATGAAATATTTAATTACTACACTCATTACAAAGTATTCATGATTCAAATGTAATGTTTATCTCGTTCACTGTTTATTGATCAGAAAACTATCAAGTTCATCGTTTATTTTCAGGAAAAAATCAAAGTCTTGATTTACAATAATGTCTGGTCAAAAGTATAAAAGTGGAGCTGAGAAACCCAAATTACAGCTAGATCGCGAAAAGAAAAGAAAAAAATGTGCAAAAATTTTGACTTTTTTCAAATCAAAACATAAAAACGAGAGTGAAATCGCTGGAAATTCATCAACAAACGACAAGGGAGGGATCGTATCTGATGAGAATCTATTTGAAGGGAGTAGCAAATCGCAACACCAAGAAGAAAAAAAAATTATGAAAATATAAAGTCTTGACTATCAGCAACCCTCTAATCAAACGGAAACGATATTGATGTTCAGCGACAGATTGGTTACACCGAGACGGAAAGAAATTTAGAAAATATTAATTTTGAGTTTGAGAAATATGTTGATGTGGTCTTGTGGCCAGAATTGCTAAATAATGATTTTATTAAAGACATCCTCTCACATGGAATGACTGACTTTCAAAATAAAGATCCGAAAAATATATATTCAGCTTCTATACAAGGAACAAAACAGAGCATTTTCAAATAGCCATTTCAAAAAAAAATGTAAACTGTTCAATCTCTGGAATGATCTTGGCTAACATATTCAACCAGTGTTGGTGCTGTTTTTTGTTTGCCTTGCAAACTTCTTTTTAAAACCTTTTCTCAATACACGACTGGATTTTCTGATTGGAAACACATAGGAACTTGTTTAGAAACTCACAAAAATCTAATGAACATAAGAAATCAATGTTAGTGTGGTTAACATGAAAAGAAAATAATTCTGTTTTAGACAAACAGCTTCAGGAGCAATCCAAAATAAAAAAACAACTTTTTGAGATATCCTCTAATACTACTGCTCGACCAAATTTAAAAAGAAATTCATTAGAAGATGAAAAAGTCATAAAAAGTATACAAATTTTAAAATATAATTCATTTTTAAAAAATAATATAATAAACGTTTTGATTTTTGAAACAAATATGTAATATTATAAAACATAAATTATTTTAGAGCCAAAAGTTAGTTCGAATCCTTTGACCTTAAATATGCCGAATGACGTAAATTTACTTGCTCTGTCCACTATTGAAGTAATAAAAGTATCAGAGAAAGAAAAAGGTAATTAGTTATTTAATCTATTTATTTTATGTAAAATAAAATAAAAAAAGATTATTTATTAAACATAATTAATAATTATAATACGTGTTAAATTAATATAACCTCTGCAGAGGCTTGTTATTAAGGGAGTCCATGGACGTTTTAAACAAAAGTAATTATACGTGTTTAATTTCATATTCCGAAACCTTAAATAAACCTAACTAATTGTAAACTGTTCAACAAAGTTTTTTATTAATTTTATAAAAAATATGTTTAATATATGTTTAAATATGGTTACATTTGCAGAAGTAATTTAAGATCAGAACACAAAATCTCTTGATCAGTATAATGCACCTTCATTTAAATCGCCCACATCATGGTATACTTCAGACACAATTAATGAGTACATTAAAATGATAGTAACACGGTCAGAAGGTGAAGTTTATGCAGTTGTCACTGATTTTATTGTAGCGTATCTTCGAGGAGGTTATCCAGCTGTAAGAAGATGGATAAAAAAAGATATTCACACAATAAAATTACTTTTTGTGCCCATGAATGTATATGGGAGTCATTGGATATTGACAGTGGTTAATATACCTGAAAAGACTGTGACATCATATGATAGTCTTAAGTCGTATAAGGGTCCTTATCCAATGGTATTAAAAAATTTCTTAATTGAATGGGAGATGGACAAAAAAGGAAAAGCTTCTACATGGACATTACAAATAGGCGAGACATCTCGCCAAACCAATGGACATGATTGTGGGCCATTTACTGTTGAGCTGGCAGAAAAAATATCTCGAGGAGATACAACACCAATAAATGCAAATTTTTTGCCTTTTATAAGATTAAGACACAAAAATGAAATTATTGCTGGCGAGCTATTCTATTAATATTTTTATGAATGAAATTTTATTTTTGTATTTTATATCAATTTTTTATTTTTAAATTTTATTATATTTTATTTGTATACCACCAAACATTTTTTTTTACTTTTTCTATGTTTAATTGTTGTTTTGTTATTTTATTTTAATCTTATTTTTCTTTGTAACATTATTTCATTAAAGAAATTCAAATTTAATATAAATTTATCTTAACTGAAATAATTTAATGTTCTTGTTATGTGAATATACAAATATTATAATATACAGTTATGGATACAATTAAGTTAAAAAGTCAGCCAATTATAAATTTTTAAGTTAACAAGCGTATCTGCTATCTTAACAACTTAATTTTAATTTTACTAAATGACGATTCATAAAGAATTTCATAACTTTTGTTTATTTTTTAAATACTATTTTAATTATAAAAAATTCTTTTCTGTATTTTTTATGAATGCGGTATATTGAATAGGGATAACTAAACTTATTTGTTTATAATTATATAAACTGATAAACTATAAAATAAATTTAAAAATGAACCACAAGTTCACAATATTTCCGTTGTTGTTATGTTTTTGCTACGGGTATTTTTGTTATCTAAATGACCCAATGAAATCCAAATAATTTTTAGAAATCTCTGATAAAATGTAGATAGTTACGTGTCGTCGAATCCTATCAAATTATCTTCAATTTTTTTATTTATTTAAAATACCATTTATTTTATAGTAAATAAATATAATATATCATAAAAAAAAGTTAATAACAATATATTACGCATTTTTTTAAGTCGGGGGGTGTCCAGACATGGAGGACACCCCCCAAAATACGCCACTGATTATAGTGCGTATGCGTAATATTATAACGCTAATAGGCGTCTGCATTTTATGAGAATAATTGCCGCCTGTGTTTTATCAAAATCAAAGCTATCATTTTCTAAGAATTTTATCATTGCCTACCAGACGCTGAGGTCAGCATATTTCCAACAACAAAGGTATCACCATAAAGNTACCAGACGCTGAGGTCAGCATATTTCCAACAACAAAGGTATCACCATAAAGTAATAATCACTATCGTATGCATTTTATGAAAATAAAGACGTCTGTCGTTATGGTATTATAGTTTCTTAAAATTTTATTCTCGACTACCAGACGCTTAGGTAAGCATATTTCCAGCATCAAAGATGTCGCCGTAGAGTAATAATCACTGTTGTATGCATAACATGAGAAAAATGGCAATGTTGTCTTTTTTCACGTATACGCATTTTATTATTTTATTGTATAACCGGTTATACGCTCTATATCCTGTCACATAAGCGTTTAATTGACGTTAACGTACAGTTGATTAATTGAAAACTGAAAATTTATCATTTTAANACGTACAGTTGATTAATTGAAAACTGAAAATTTATCATTTTAATATTTTACACGCGCAAATGAAAAATCATAAACCAGCAATCGTCTTCTACAAAAGGTATGTAGATTTTTCCAAAAATTAATACTTTTATACCTTTTAAATATTAAAATAAATCCAATACCGAATTGTATTGAATCAATTTAAACTCTACGATTTTTTTTTTATTATGTTAATTTTTAATTATTTTTTAAGTTTCATTATTATTTATACAGCAACCTGAAGATGGTACACGCACATTACCTGTATATTTATTTTACTTAAAAAATTACCTATTTATTACTAATAAAATGACAAAAAAACAGTCGGTGCGTAATGAAAGAAAAATTTGTAGAAGTGAAGGAAAACCTTACGTGAACAAGAAAAATGTTTTGGTTGGAACAGAAATAAAAGAAGAGATCAGTTGTAAATGTAAGTTTCACTGTCGCAGTATTCTATATTCAAAAGAAACTCCTATTTCATGACTTATATGCCTTAAAAGACAATTGTAAACAAAATTCTTATTTGATGCCCAGATAGCAAAATTGTAACGATAATATTATTATATTAATAAAATTACACTACAAAATTAATAATACTTGTTTAATATTATAATAATATTTTTAATATCATACATTTTTAATATTTAGTTAATAATATTACAATATTATTTATTTAACATTATTTTTATATAATGATTACTAAAAAATAAAATAAAATAAATATAAATAAATAAATAATTTTATTTTGTCAGTTTTGTTTTTCCGACTTCCCAATGTTAAAAATAATCAAACATTTTGACTGCCTGACCGATCAACGCGCTACTCTACAGTCGCGGCACGACGATCATACCGCTACACTAAAACGCATAAATCGCTATCATTAATGATACCGATTTATGAGTTTTGAATTGCAATTTTAAAAACACAATTGTGTTTGGTGCAATAATCCATGGGAACACAAAATATCTGGTTTTTGATATTATATTATTGTATACTATATCATAAACTATAGTTTTCGTGGGGTTTGCTGCAAAGTGACGAGTGCAAGCACAGTACGATGAATTCTAGTCGCACATTTTCGGCGGCGACCTGCTCGTGTCGACAGTTTTGAGGAGTTCATTTGTAATCTACGTGTCTATTAAATATTAATATTTAAGCAATAGCTCTAATAAAATTCCACCAAATTCTACCAAATCAATAGCGTCTAGATAAATTTATCAGATTATTCGATTGATATAACACCTACACTATCATTTTTTTTTTACCTTTTCGATTTTCGAAATTGAAGCGATCACACTCAAACTTTTTTATATCGTTCTGGTCTACCGTATGGGTAGTATTTTTATTCATTATTAAATTTTTAAGCTTAAATTATGAATAATATTCAAGAAATATTTAAATTAAGCTGAAAGAAGTTTCTCAACATTGAAGAAAATTAAACCGTGCTTAAGAAGTATCATGTATGAAGAAAAACTCAACGCTTTGACCATATTAAGTATTGAAAGTTGTATGATCAACGAAGATTAATAGTTTTAATCAAAAAGTTATAGACGAATTGTGAAAAATTAATTTTATGTATATAGTTGACGTTTAAATAAAATAATTTAGTCTTTTTGTTTGTTTTGTTGACTTTACCTTAAACAAGTATAAAATGTTAGAAATAAAATAATTAAAATTGGTGTTACAATATAATGGTAACAATATTATTGAATAATTGGGAATGGGGAACCTATTGTTCGTAAGACAGTTCGTCCACCTCTATATAAAATTACTACACTGATAAATTTATTAAACAAATATGTAAGTAAAAGGAATCACAGAGTTTAATTTAGAGTGAAAATCACAAATACTGCGGTCTAGCAGATTAACTTGCTAGACCAAAATAAAACAATTATTTTATTTTGGTTGGTCCGTGGTGTAGTCAAAACTGTAAAGGTCCCGCGATAGAACGATGATCAATGACCCAATCACCATTGTTACATCGTTGATATGTCTCTGTCGTCGACGACTAGTCGCGCGGTTATTGTTGGACTTTGTACCAACGAACTATCGCACGTGTGTTTACACAAGTAAGGGTACGACTGATAAGAGTTTTGCGTGTTCAGGGTTTGTGTACCTTTCATGTCGGTGATTCTTAGCGCAATGTTAATTTTTTTCCTTATTAAAAATATTTTATTTTGGTAAGTAGCTTAATTTTTATTTAGATTTATAATATTTTTGATAATTTAATTAAATTATATTTAATTCGATATTTTTATTAAAAAGATTTGATTACGTAATGTATGCCAGTCAGATTCCCTTATTAGTATTTTCTAATTTTATCAATTTTAATAATTTGTATATTATGGATGAGTTTTTAAGTGATCGTTCTAAGAGAAGAAAGAGGAAAGAAGAGTTTGAGTGCTTTCAGCAATCTTGTAGTTCTAGTGTGTTTGAAAAAGTTTAATTTCAATCTACTCTAAGTAATAATATTTCTATTGTGACTAATATCTGTAAAGAAAACATTTCTGTCGCAAATACATCTGATAAAGAATCCGATGATAGTATATAATTTGATTTCAATAATTTTATTACTAATAATGACATATTAAATGATCAATTGTATAGTTATGATTCTAATACTGAAATAGATAATTTGACTGATTCCTTTACAACAAAAAATTTTGAACTGGCCCAATGGGCAATAAAATATAAAATACCACATACTTCTTTATCTGATCTTTTAAAAATACTTAGGTTTCATAAGTGTTTTTCCAGACTTCTAGTAGATCCTAGGACTTTATTAAATACTATCCCTATTGATGTTAAAAGTATACGTGAAGTAAAACCTGGTAAGTATTTCCATTTTGGCATTCAAAAAAGTATCACTTCTAATTTAACACCTGAACAATTATTGAAAAAAGATATAAAATTAATTGTTGGTATAGATGGTTTGCCAATTCATAAAAGTACATCATTACAATTTTGGCTTACATTAGACCAGAATCAACTAATGTTTTTCCTGTTGGATTGTATTGTGGAAACCAAAAGCCTCTTGATAGCAATGATTTTTTGAGAGACTTTGTTAATGATATAAAAAAAATAACATCTGATAATTTAACTTATAAAAATAAAATGTACAATATTACTCTAGATGTTATTTACAGCGATATGCCAGCTAGATCCTTTGTCTTAAAAATCAAGTCTCATATGGGATATAATTCTTGTATTCGTTGTGAAATTGAAAGAGAACGAATTGAAAACAGGACATGTTTTCCATATTGTGAACCGCATCTTAGACCCTCTAAAAGAACTCATTATGGTTACACCAACAAATTAACCGATGACCATCATCTGTTAAATAGTGAAATTTCTATACTGACTGAAATACCTAGGTTTGATGTAATCAATAATTTCTCATTAGATTATATGCATCTTATTTGCTTAGGATTGACCAAAAAACTTCTCATGCTATGGATAAACATAAACATTTAAACAGATAAACATTTTCCTTGTGAACTTTCAAGAAAAACTAGAAATTTAGATGAAATCTCTAGATTTAAGGCAACTGAATTCAGGTCTATTTTAGTTTACTTTGGTTTTATTGTATTTAAAAATATAGTTGATGGTAATTGTTATAAAAATTTCATAGCCCTAAGTATTGCTATGAGAATACTATTGAGTCCTGATTATAGTTCATTAAAACACTATTCAAATAATTTATTAGATTATTATGTAAAATCTTTTGAGCAAATTTATGGATTAGTGAACATGTCCCCAAATGTTCATGGTTTACTCCATATTGTAGATGACTACAATAGATATGGCCCTCTCGAAAACCAATTAACTTTCTAACATATAAAAATAAAAAATAATCACCAATATGGTTGTTCATTCGTGTTGTCAAACATATGAAATAAAAACGTGGTGGTCAACAAAAAACATTACATGTACCAAGGAATTCTATGTGATAAATGCAAAATACAACAAATTAGGTACCAAAACTATCACTTAATAGATAATCAAACTATTTGGGAAACTGATGCAAAAAATTATTTCAAATACAGACCATTTGCTTGGATAAGTGAGCAACTTGCTCACTACTCTAAGTATGACGTAGAGTTTCAACTAAGACTGACTTACAACCGTACTCACCGGGTAGGCATGTGCAGTGATTGGGGTCATATCATAATTTAATTTACATAGTTTTAAAAATTGGCGCTGTTACAGATTATTCAGAAATTCGAATTTTAGATAAATATGACGTACAAATACAAAACGATAACAACTCGGTTGATAAGGATGACATTTGGTATTTAAATTCACAACGTGACTTTAAAAATTTCATGCTCAAACACCACCTTATAATAGATAGCGCCAGTATAATTACTATCCTTATAAATTCGTAAAAAATAATGATTTCAAGAACACCAAAAAATATATTAAAAATGGTTTTGAGGTTCAATATCCCAAATATCATAGTAATTTTCCAGAAGTCATAGTCATTCCTGAAAAAAATTGGTAAACATCAAAAATTCTTTTTTTAGATATCATTTTAGATTTAAAATTTTTTTCATTCAATATAATATTAACATTTAAAAAAAAAGAAAAACTATTCTTATTTTAATTCTAATACCATACTATAGTATACTATAATAATTCAATTAACTTTAGATCTAAAAATATTTTTATTACATATACAGTCAACTCGTGATATAACGAAGCTCGTTATAACGAAAATCTCGATATAACAAATAAAACTGTCGGTCCCTTGAAAATCTCGTGATATAACGAAAAATTACACGTATTTTAGTCCCCTCGATATAACGAAGTTTTTTTGACCAACGCTCTTGCTATGTAACGAATTATCATATAATAATGTCGTCGTAATAGCTTGCTATTACAGTGTTTGTTTCAGCGTTTTTCACGCGATAAGATAAATGACTCTACTACGTTTTTGTAACCTTTACGTTATCGTTTTAATTTAGTTTGATTGTTGCGTCAAAAGCGATCACATGAAATTCCACTCGTTGCCCTCGAACTCTCAGCAGATAGTCGAGGAGCCGTTACATTCCGAACGCGTGACTGTTTGGTGTGGAGTTGCAGAGTGGGGAATAGTGGGGCCTTACTTCTTTCAAGGAACGATCAACACGGAGCGCTATCTGGAGATGTTAAAAACGTTCTTAATACCGGAGTTGAAGAAGAAACGCAAGTTTGGTCGCACCTNAGAAACGCAAGTTTCGTCGCACCTTCTTTCAACAAGATGGCGCCACGTGCCATACGGCGAAAAAGACGTTGGATTTCCTACGCGAAGAATTCGGCACCCGTCTGCTGTCTCGCACCACTGAGTTTCCATGGCCACCACGTTCGCCCGATCTCTCAGTGTGCGACTTCTTTTTGTGGGGCTATTTGAAGCAACGTGTCTACGCTAACAAACCTCGAACCTTGGACCAGCTGAGAGCCAATATTAGGAGAGAAATTGCAGAAATAAAGCCAGCGATGTTGAAAAAAGTGTATGATAATTTCGAAAAACGCCTCGAAAATTGTATTGCTTGTAACGGCCATCATTTAGCCGATATAATTTTTGGTAAATAAACAAAAAAAACCTTTAAGTGTCTAGTTTATTTTCCCGGAGTTTCAACCTCTTCCGATTAATAGCGGCCGCGCAAGTGGTTATTAAAATGTGTCAGGTTCCTCTGCCCAACCCTGTATTTTTTAAATTACGGAGTAATAAGTAAATTAAACAGGTATAACACTTTTGGATACATGGAAGTAGCAGACAAAAGAGTAGTTTTATGGAATGAACCGAATTATGAAACTTCTGAAATAGAAAAATTAAAAGAATTATTAGGCGGCGACACGTGTAGAGTTCAAGTTAAATTTAAAGGAGATCAAACGGTGCAAGGTCCTCCATTCATTATATTAACCAATAATTATATACCACTTATTAATGATAGTACATTTAAACATCGTATTCGGTCTTATCGGTGGAAAACGGCCTCGTTTCTAGCCGAATACGATAAAAAACTCAATCCATTAATGTTATATCCTTTATTGCAGTTATATGACATCATTATGTAAATTACTAATAGATAAACTTTATGAACTCATTATAAAATACATATGTTGCTGATAAAAAAAAACAAAATATGTGTAAACACTTTATTAAAAATACAATTATTATAATTAAATGACATTGAAATGACTTTGTATTGTTCTTTAACCTATTTTAAGTTAACGTCGTCATAGCATATTTATCCATCCACGTGCTGAGCGTAGGATTGTTAACCAAAGAAGTACCGCCCCATTGAAATTCCCTTTGGGTTTTTGAGCTCTACACATATCGTTTGACATTCCAAAAGCCACTGTACACTCTACTGCGACGTCCCAAAACGCTTCTACATCTGTCCATTTTGAAGGAATAAGTCTGTTTTCTGTTGTAGTCATTTTGGGAACGGGGTATATACCAACGTGTAACGATGGTTGGGCTTTTGGATTTCGTCTATCCGTTTTCTTGTGGTAATAAGCGGACAAATCTAATAAATCTATGTATCTGGTATCTTTTATTTTTTTCCATGTTCGAGATTCTTCGCTATAGGTGGTCGTGATATACGAATATTCGTATAGGGCCGTTTTGTTGCTTGTGTTTGTTTCCGTTGGCGTTTTGTTTGTAACTATATTAACGGCGGCGCCCTCTGATATACCAATATCCGTATAAGCGATTTGGTCGGGATGTAAATAAGATCCAAAATGCGGTATTGGTTCGCTCAGATAACCGTATTCTGGTTCGTATTCGTAGTACACGATACGATCTCCAATGTAGTGGCTAGCGTCAAATTTATTTATGTATTTGTTTAAACGCTGCCATGTGAATTCAGCAGCACCTTTCACTTGACGGTGATACATAGTGTAATAGTGTGTCAAAATAGACGGTAAATTCATAAACTAAGTTGGTAATGTGTCCGTAAAAGATGAATCGTTATCCAGCGAACCGTACCAAACATCATATTGTTTTTTATAGTCCATATCGCTTTTTATATTGTCCACTTGCATGGGCTCCGTAGCGTTAAAAGTATACGATCTATTCACTCCGGTGGTATTTACATTCAAGCCTACGGCATACACACCAAATTTATTTTGATTTAAAGTAGCCAAAGACGACGATGTAGTTGAAGCGGTTTCAAACGCTGTTCGGGGATTTCGCATAACAACCGTGCATTTAACTTTTACAATCCGATCGCCCCGTGGTATTTGCGCTATTTCTTCTTATGTTAAATACAAATGTACTCTATCGACTGGTATTTCCGCTAAACTGGTGGAGGCAAAATGACTGTCTCTAGCAATGTCCGCACCAACAGGCTTAACAAGCCACGCAATTCCGTAACTAACAAATTGATGGTTTTTTAGAAAAACCGCGGAGTACCCGACAGCGTAGTCAAAAGGACGGGGTATTGAAGCAAATGCAATAATAGGATTACCAGTATCGGCATCGCTAGCCGCCTCATTAGCCGTTCCAGGCAATTCCGTTTTAGTTTTTTTTGTTGGTGGTTCTCCCATAGTTCCAACCTCTCTTGCAGCTGCTTTATATTCGTTAAGGGATTTAGCTCCTGTTCCTGTTCCCGTTGTCGTTCCTCCAGAAGCTGTTCTGTCCGGCGTCGTTGTTGAGACAGTCTGTGGCATTCCAAACACTGCATCTATAAACGTAGAACCTTTATAAATAACTAATGGCCAACCCCGACGTAAACACGAGCTAAATTATGTTGTCGAACCGAATACACGCGTTGCGAAGCGTTAGACCACTGCCCACGGAACCACGGTTCCTTATCCAACCAACGCATAGCACTTACTTTTTTCGACTGGTGGCGTTGTTCGCGGCAACTATTTGTGAAGCGGTATTTGGCCGATAAATGTACTCCAGTGCTCGAACACGCGCCATACTCGCCAGATTTTTTTTTGTTTCCAAAGATTAAATCTGCTTTGAAAGGAACCCGATTTGGGTCTATTAAATCGGCTAAGCAAAAAACAGCGAAGCTTCTAAAGGTCCTCGCCAAAGACTTCCAACACTGCTTAGATCAATGGAAAAAACGTGTTGAAAAGTGTGTGATGAGGTGAGGGGAGTATATTAAAGGGGAGCATTCCTCCAATGTAGAATAATTTTTATAATAAAACTCTTTTTCGTATCCAGTCTCGTTATTTAAGGGGTAATATCTATCAAATTTTTTAACTGTAAAAATTTTATTCAAAAGTACTTAATTATGAGTGACAAAGTGTACAGTGGCCACAAAGGCAGTAAAACAAGAAGTACCAGAACAACCCGGAGTAAAATTAGTAACCGATACCCGCATAACCACCATGCGTTCGAAGTCGATTTGGAGTACGTTAGTACATCTACGAAAAAATTAAAAACTTCTGATTTAAACCGTGATCGCGTTGTTGATAGGGATTTCGGCTTCCGATGGATTATTCTCTTTGGGCCATTTTAGAAAGCAAGGTCCGAACTAAAAAATTCACTAGTCTAGAGGCGTTAAAAAAAGCCATTGTCCGCGAGTGGGCCAAAATACCTGCAAATCACATTTGGACAGCTTGCGATTCGTTCCTGGACCGTCTCAAAGTCATAGTCAAGGCAAAAGGTGGTCATATCGAGCAAAAGTAAATTGATTCTTGATTTTGTATTATTTTCACATATTTTTCACTTAGAATTAAATTAAACTTATTTTCTAAATTGAATTTGATTTGGATACACTTAGAGTGTACTTCGGACCCTGTACAAAACAACTTGGTATATAAATAATATTTTAATATATTATCATTCATGAATATATTTTTTATATTAGTTCACTTACAGAAAAACAGATTTCACTAAAAGATTATGCACACGCTCAAAATGTTTGGCGGCAGTTCAACCTCCAAACTTTAAAAGATTACGTTATTTGGTACAATGAATTGGATGTACACCTTCTTTGTGATTTTCATTAATTTTTCAGAGACCTATGATTATCAACCTATGGACTAGACCCCTGTTTATACTACAGGTTATAACCTGTATACCGCTCCTGGTTTATCATTTGATGCCATGCTGAAAATAACTTAAGTAGAGATTGAACTTTTAACGACCTATGATATGTTTTTGTTCATAGAAAACGGAATAAGGAGTGGCATCACCCAAATTGTAAAAAGGTATGCCAAAGCGAGCAATAAATTTACGACTGGTTATGATGCGAGTGAGAAATTAATCTGACTGATATATTTTAGATGTGACTAACTTGTATTTTTGTTTTTTAACATTTATTTTAATTTAATTTAATAATGTTATTATGTTTCAGGTACTGGTGGGGTATGGCCGAGCTCTTCTGTATCTGTATTAACTGTAACGACCAGTAGTAGTGATATATCAGATTCGGAATTCGACTCAGAATGAAAATGTAATATCATCATCTTTGTAAGTACTGTAAATACAAACATTTTATTTCATTGATTATTATTATCATTCTGTTAATTTTGCATACGTCAACATTGTATATTTGTTTTAAATACCATATTATCAATATAAATATTATCAATATCATTATCAAGTTGCCTTATTTTATTATTACGACACATACATATCGGTTACATAAAGCGCGGTGTATAATTTATTTGTCATCGTAGTAGGCAGCGAGATTTGGACGCATGGAAGGAGTTACGACGGCCTGTCGGTCGATGAACGAAGGAGGTTCCCATTTTTGTGGAAAAATTTAATAAGCCACACCGAAATAGAAGAAAAAGAATTTTATGAAGTCGACAATATTATAGACGAGATGTTGTCCACAGAGACTTTAGATTGGTTGTTGACCATCACTGGAGACACATCATATGAAACGGATTCAGATAGTGAATAATACTGACTTGAATCTTTGTATAAATGACTAGGGAATGCAATCTCGTTCTCGCAAGACCTCGCGAGTTTAACGAGATTGAACTCGAGCATAAAAACGTCTCATTCGAAGCGCGCCTGCGCGCTATACCTGATTGCGTGCGTGCGATTGGTCGAAAATTAAATCGGCATGCGGCGTCCGCGTGCTTTTGTTTACTAGCAATATTTGTTGTCAACGTGCTTGATTGAGTTGATTGTGTTCCAGTATTTTTGTGGGTATTTATGCCGAAAGTCTCTTCTGTGATTTACGACAAATGGAATAACGAACCAACGATGTATGCGAATAATGTTTATAATGATTATACGAGTGTGTTGGAAGTATGGAAATACTTTTTAAGAGCGGAAAATGGATTGAGTGCTAAATGCAAACTCTGTAAGATTCTTAAAACAAAAGATCGATCTCCGCGTAGCTCACATCATGATGTGCATTTGAAATTAATTCATAAAATTGACACGAAAACGAAGAATGTGGTAGAAGTGAGCAAGGTGCAAGCTATATCACCGCCGATGTTACCGCCAGCATCATCTAATAGTGGGTCTTCTAATCAAAGTATGGAAGTAGTAACAGCATCCGCGCATCCACATCGAATTTCAGTCCAAAATCTTCAGAATCGTCGGCAACAGCGCCACCAGCAAGAATGTAAAGGAAAAAAAATTACCGATCACTTCCACCCAATTGAAGATACTTGAAGAAAAAAATATCAAGAATGGTTGCTAAAGATAGACTGCCTTTCCGTGTTTTCTGTACCTCCTAAGATGCGAGATCTCTTCAATTCTTCGGGACACAAACTGCCGAAGTCCCCAAACACAATTAAACTTATAATTATGAATTACGGCATGACACTGAAAATGAAAATAATGCGTGAACTGGCACAGCTGAAGGAGAATGATCATATTTACGCTAACATTTGATGAGTGGACTTCTTCTA